AACAACATATGTAATCCTATAAGTGAAGTCCAAATAGATGTTCAACTCGAAAGAGAAGTTTTAAAAGCAAGATTGAAACAAAAACATGATAATAAAATAACAAGATACAAAGCAAATACAACGACTGACATAAATTGAAGGATATGTGATAATACCTGAAAATGCAAGGTATAGAATACTCTATCTTCAAAAGTTTCAAAAGAATTTGCATTTAGTAGAACAAGTCCTTCATCTTCTAATTGTGAAATAGCCTCACCAATTGAACCTTTATTGATCTTCAAAGTTGATATTTGAACAACTATTTCTTTATCACTTAATTTACTTGTTGAAATAACAAATGAAGAATTCTCAATTCCTCCTTTTGTTCTTTTTTGTTTGGTAAAATCACCTAATTTTTGTCTATTGAAAACATATGTTGATGTAAATTCTTCTTTCTTTTGAACCAATCTTTCCACTTCACTTTGTAACTCTGGTATGTACTTTAGAATTTTTGATATTGTTGATGGAATACTTGGCTTTTTCTGTGAAACATGAAGAATAATGAAGTCTCATAAGCATATGACAAAAGTATTTTCCAAATTGATAAGTCAAACATAAAATGTTACTTGTTAAAAGTAACTTTTTGTAAAGCACCTATGACAAAATTACTTTTCAAAATAAATAGATTTTTTGAGATGAATACGATCGGAGAAAAGAAATCATACCATATGATCAGAAGGAGGAAGTAAAGAACGAAGAGAAGAATATAAGTCGTTGATTTTCTTTCTACGATCACGTTCACTTGCGTTATGATTAAGCTTCTTCACCGTTTGATCGGGTTGATGATGATCACCACCGTTGATAGTAATCTCATCAAATTTATTTGAATCAGAGTGTTGAAGGTTTTTTCGTGATGATGAATGAAGAGGTTCCATGGGATTAATGTTAATTTGTTGGCTATTTGAATCTTCCAAAAGCCAACCAAAATTAATATAATTAGTAGAAATCATAGGAGAAGAAATGGCTAGCATTTTTGCTAATTACACTCTTAAGACTTTTTGTACTTTAATTACTAATTAGTAGTACTAAGACAATGTTGACATGATGTTTATAACTAATAGATTTCATCAAGGCACAGCTCATAATGATAGTTACTCTAATTAAGAGATATTTAATTATTCGAGATAATTGCACATTTGGTCCTTTAATTATTGAACGATTTTGATTTTAATCGTACATGTGTCACAATATGTTTGTATTGTTACTCTATGTTGTACGGTAATTTGATTGTAAAAATAAAAGGACTAAGAACACATATTTTAATTGATTAGAAGTTAAATATGAATAATCAAATAATATAAGAACCAAAACAGTAATTTACCGATTATTAGAGGACTAAAAATGCTATTAACCCGTTTATTAATATACAATTAAATGACTAATTATTTATTAATATATTTTGTAAGGAGTCACTGCGTGTGGGATCATATGACATGCACGAGCCTTGAATATATTTAAAATTCATAACTCGAGTAAATAGTCGATATGCCACACTTAAACACGTTTAATTAATTAAATATGCCACGTCTACATGTTTAATGTTAAAATATTATGCAAGGTTCTTTAGGATGATGGAATAACTAATAAAATCAAGAATCAAGAATATAATACTAAGTTGTTTTATTTTATTTAATTTTATTATACAGATGTGAAGGGATTGATGGTTAGTTCAATCAATTAAGTCGCTTTTTAAATGATCTAATCATTTGAGTTTCACTTCTATTTCAGTTTGATTCGATTAATTTTTAATATTTCATTTTCAAAACGTCAAATATGACAGATGTGTAACTAAGATTCTCATTACTTTTCTTAAAAAAACAACAAAACTTCAATTTAAAATTTAAAAGTCGGTTATTATTTGAAAAACAATAATAGATAAAATGAGTTATACTAACTTTGAGATATACCTACTTTTCTTTTTATTTTATTTAATTAAAAAGAATTGTTACATCAAAAGTAGAACTAATATTGATACTCTATTGTTACAAACTTAAAATAATAATGAGTCGTTTTCGATCAAACATTTCGTTAACTTGTGAGTTGTGACTTATATAATGTATATACTTTTATTCCTTTTATTTTTCTGTAAAATATAGGGTTGAGACAACCATTAAGTCAGCTGCCATTATATTTTATTTGTGATACAAAAAAAAAAGAAGAGAAAAATATTAATGAACACACTTTCATAAATAAGAAAAGAAATTATTTAGGATGAATTATAGAATATTCCCAAATTCTAGGAAAGATAAAGAATCAAATAAGTTGAACCGTTAAAATTGGGCTTAGCTCATGGGGCCGATTCAATCCAATCCATTATTGGGGTAGGTTTGGTATAAGATTTTTAAGTTTTTTTTTTTAAATTAGGGCTTATAAATTCAATTCATATAAACCCTTGACTCTTAACATTTGGTCGGGGTTGGGCTAGGGTCGATTCATGGGTCAAAACTATTTATTTAAGAGTAAAATTAAGATAATCTCTTTAGTATATGAGTTAATTACTTAAATGCACGTTATGTTGTAATAATATGAATCTTATCAGAATTTGGTACGTCTAGATACATGTATCTCATGATACATATGCTTCAAATTAGGTTAATTTATTCTAGATACACTCTATCCAATTGGATTTAGATAAACAAATTTCGCACCCTTGCTTACCTCCCATCTCGATCGCGTATCTAGAATGCATCATAATAGATACATGTATTAAGTATCCTAGATATATGTTATTACATTAGATTTTATTTTTTTTGCTAGTGTTATTGAAACAGTACCATTGTTCGTCATATTTGATTTGAAATTTTTCTCAATTTCTTGATATTATAGAATTTTAAGTTTGAAAAGAAGAAAAATGATAGAAAGGAACAAAAGAAGGGTTAATCCGCCGCAGCCCGTCTAGGGTAGGGTTGAATTGGATTAAGCATTTTCAGGCCCTTTCAAAATGAAAAGCCGACCCACCCTAGCCCTTTAAAATCCTTGGCCCACGAGACTTGGATCGGGTGTAGCTGGACCGGCCCCTTTTGACACCTATACCAATAAGTATCCCAAAAATGTAAAAGGGCTATTATTTGCAAAGGCCATTTTACAAAGAATTCAAAAAATAATTGGAACATAGAAAAGGCCCAATATTGAGAAATTGGGTTAGATTGATAAGATAAAGCCCCACTGAACAAACTTTGGTTCAGATTACTAGATCATTGTCATACAAAATTAATTTAGAGAATGGTCTGGTATTTTTGATGTTTTGTAGTACGATAAATTGATCATCGTAGTTTGATCAACTTCAACTTACGTATAATTATATATAATAGAGATTATAATTTTAATTTTTCATGAAACGTTTTGGTAATATCATATTAGCAGTTTATACATGTAGAAATGTTCAAAGGAAGTACAATAAATATCCTTCGTTAATCAATCATCTAAAAAGAATATCTCAATCGAATTATATTAGCTAAAGTTCTGACGTCTAATAATTAGTTTTGTAATAGTATTATTTTATGTGTTTGCAATTATTATATGTAATTATATACTTTGATATGGTATTCAACATTATATATGCATATCAAATACCATAATATTGAAGTTGCAATATCAAGGAAAACATCATTGATCGTTACACTACTCATTATTTTGGCTAAAATAGGTTTTATCGTTAAAAAAGAAAAAAACTTAGCAAATAATAATAAAACGTAAATCTAACACACCTAATTATTAAAAAAAAACTTAAAGAATATTTTGATAACGCTTTTGTTGAATCAATTTGAGCTATACATGTAGCTTAATGTAAGCACAAATTTGAAACTAGTGATCCCTTCTAACTTAAATTTATTTAAGGGACACAATTTTCTTAAATTCTAATGATTTTAATTAAGCTTGATAAGAAATCACTCAACTTAAAAGTTACAGCACTCAAAGAAATTATTAAGCACTAATGATAGTAAGCTTAATTAATAAATAATAAAATGTTGACCTTAAAAAAGTGTCACATGTCTATTTTTTATTTTATTTTATTAATAGAAGTCTTTCAAAGGCACTACTTATTTCTTGATTTGATTGTCAACATTAATTAGTAAATACTGCTTGTGGTCAACAAAGTAGATGGCCCCACTAAATTGTACACATATAGATAAGGTTCCACTTAATCATAAAAAAAAATAATAATAATAAAAAACTTTAATTAATCTCTATCCTTATAATTAACATTTTTTAAACCTGATAAATTTTTATATAAATTGAAAGTATAACAGATTAAAAAGAATGTATTCTCTATTTTTGATTTGTTAAAATTGAACAAGTAAGAAAAATAGAGAGAGTATTAATTACTAGAATAATCATTACAAAATTATAGGATTTAAGCATACCAGTTATATCATTAGGTCTCTAATAGCAGGGGCAGATCTAGGAGGACGAGTGCATTCACATTAATTTCATTGATAAAAAATTGTACTATATTTTTTTAATAAAAAATTTAAATTCGTCATTGTATAATAGCCATGAGACTCATTCTAGATATGCATTCATAATTTATTTTCTTTTATTGTAATAGCAAAAGAGATATTTAATAGTAATTAAAAAATTAACAATAACTAAATTAATAATATTATATTCAAAATCACAAAAATTTTAACATCATTAACATAATATTATCAGAATAAAAATTATATTATTATCGCTAAATCATTTATTTGTTACTTGTATGTTATATGTCCCATCATAGCCACAAGCCCACAGACATTTTGGTTCCACTTATATAGGTGAATCAAATTTAACCCACCAACATTTTGTTAATTTCTAAAACAATTATTATTATGAAAATGCCACTTTGTGATATTCTCTTCACAACTGTCATTTAATAAATGTATTATGGAAAAGAATATAAGGTGTTGGAGTAATTCAACAGAAAATTGATCTAAAAATATAAAACATAAACAAAAAAGGGTAAGATATATTTAAATATATATATCAACTTTAAAATTGAAAGAATGTTGACGAAAAATAATTTTCAAAAAAATCATCATAATATTTGTCTGTGAGCATGATATTCAAAAGTAATATTATGTACTTCTAGTTCAAATAATTCTTTACTGGCATGAAAAAAAAATATAATTTGAAATTAAATATATCATCACCTGGTGAATAGAACATCACACGAAGTTTTGCTGATGATAGAATTTTAAAAAATGACATAAAATATCTGAGAAAGAAAGATTCTTATGCATTAATATCATTACTATTTTTTTAAAAAAATGAATATATTCATTTTTATTTTATTTTTTTTTCAACTCAATCATTTTTTTTGACCTACTAAAAAAGCAGCAAGTGACGATTCTTTAGTTTATATAACTTGATTTGAAACTTGGACAACTGATTAATTGCATGGACCATCCAAATAGCCAGGTAACTATCATGCCATGTTGATTAATATGGATGGTCGATTAGTAGCTAGATCGCTATCATGCCATGTTAATTAATATGAACGGTCGATTAAGACTGAATAAACTTTATTGATAACTTTTTCAATTATATTATTTGAATCATTATATAAATATTTAATTTATCAAATATAAAAATTTATCCTATTTTTTTTTAACGTTATCCATCCCGTGAATTCTTACCACAAAGAAAAAATCATTTAAGTAGCAAAATTTATCTTCACCAGTAATGCCCCTAATACAATTTACATTTATAATCTATGGTATTATAGAGCATGTCTATAATAACTATTTATAACCTTTATTTTTTACACTCTTATTTTCTAATTCATAGGTGCATCTTTTTGTATAATTTTTTTTGACAGTTCACCTCCAAACTTTTAATTAAATGTATAATAAATGATCTTGGCCTAAAAATTAAATGTGTCACATTATTCCAATGGAAAAGTTGTTTTATTTTTACCATGCGTAATTAATAGTAATTAGTAAAACCTTGTCAACGAATATTTATGTGCAAATCAAGGATAACATATAATTTCTGTTTATGAATCATTTTTCGCTCTTATACTATCGTTTAATATATGTGTCAAAAAGTAATTTTTTTTTTATTTAGTAGATTTAATACGAATTTCAAAATTTCAATCAAAGCGAAG